CGGATAATGCGGACATGAAAGCTGCCCCGGATAATGCGGACATGAAAGCTGCCCCGGATAATGCGGACATGAAAGCTGCCCCGGATAATGCGGACGTCAAAGCTGCCCCGGATAATGCAGACGTCAAAGCTGCCGCGGAAGGAGAAGACCCATTAGGCAAGAAACAAAAGGGAAAAGACAAAAGGGAGCGATCAAATAAGGGGGTCAGCGAAGTTAAGAGCTCCGAGTCAGGGAAAATGAGCCCACATGGAGAGGCATATGAGAAGAATGGGAAAACGTGTATGAGCAATGACAACTACGAGGTTGGCGGGAGGCAGGCAGGAGCAGAAGGAGAGGAAACAAAACTAGAGAAAGCAGAAGTAGAAGCAGAAGAAGAAAAGAGACTCGAACTAATCATTAATAATTTTATGCATAGAAAGCAAATCTGTTTTTCAATGAATGATATTTTTTACCCCTTCACTAATCGGAACCTCAACATGCCTAGGAAGAAGCAGCAAAACAAGAAGTCGGCAAAGAATAGATTATTTGAGCGTTCTAATAATAGGTTTTCTAGAATTCTAGGACATGTCGACCTTCTCGACCCCCGAGATAGTGCACCGTCTAGGAGGTACCTTAAAAGTAAAGTAATTTACGGGAAATTGAAGAAAGGATTAAATCTTTTACTTAGACATGAAAAGAAGAAGAAGAAAAGGAAGTACACGCGACATGGGACAGGTGGTAAGGTCGATGATGTCGTGTTGGTACCCCCGATTGGTCAGGGGATCGAAGGTAGTCGCAGCAATGTGGGGGGAAACACCGGGAACATCAGCAATGGGGACGTCAACAATGGGAACGTCAACAATAGGGACGTCAACAATGGGAACGTCAACGCGAGTGCTTGCGCTCCTCCTGTCGCAAGGGCCAATGGAAGGGCTGTCGGAAGGAAGAGAGGCAACAAAGGTGCCGCGCATACTGCCAATCAGAATGAAGACAGTTTGAGTGTAACTTGCCCGACAACAGAAAGCCACGCGAATTCTCCCATCAAAAGTGCGAAGGAGAAATCCGGGCGAGGAAGGAATGTCGGAGAGAAGAAAGGGGTCAAGGCGAATAATGCACTCGTAGGGGTAAATCCCAGCGAGGGGGGCAGCGGCGCCATGCAAATGCACGAGACGCAGTGTGGCGTCCCCCTCCAGATGGGCGACCCCCGCCTCGACCTGCACGAGATGGGAGCGATGGGAACGATGGGTGCTATGGGAACTGTGGGGGCCGTGGGAGCGGTGAAAGCAGTCCGGGGCGGTAAAAATCAGGCCAAACCGAGCCCAAGGAAGCACACATCACAGGGGAGAAGCAAGCAGAAAGATTCAGGCAGCACTTACGATGGCCTTTTTAATAGCGGTGGACAAATGAGGGGGGTGAAGGCGAAAGGGAAGGAGGGCCACAGCAAGATGGACATGATGGATCCAGCCCTGCCTAGCTACAACGTCGGCGGGGAAGTGGGCGGTCAGATAAGTGGCCATATAAGCGGTCAGATGGGTAGCAATTTTAACACACAACTGAGCAGTCACATGGGAAGTCACGTTGGAAGCCATGTAGGAAGTAACGTGGGAAGCAATTGGGGCAGCCATGTGGGAAGCCATATTGGAAGCCATGTAGGAAGTAACGTGGGAAGCAATTGGGGCAGCCATGTGGGAAGCCAGATGAGTACCCCCCTTCGATACGACCACCCGGCCTACAACCCCCCAGGTGGAGCATCCCCAGCAACCCCCCCCAACAAAGGCCTTAGCAAGAAGGAGAAAACGAGCCCGAGAAAGAAGGTACACAAAATGAACAACATGCCGAAGGAGGCTCCATTTTATAACGCGTCCCCTTCTACGACATCGGCTGCATCAATTTCCGGTGGAGGAGGTTTATACCCGTACAGCAGCTTCCACGCTGGTAGTAACGTGGACAAACCGAGTGGAATGATGCCCCTTCCCCATGGACCAGGTAACAACAGCACCAGTGTGTATAGAATGAACAACACAGAAGAACAAAGGCATACACAGCAAGCTCACACAATAAACCCCTACATTAAGAATGAAATGATGAATAACATAGACCGTGCAAACAATAGCTACATGTTTCGAAGTACCAATGAGCAGGCACAGCTCAGTGGACCAGTTCCTGTCGATATGAATCACCACGCAGATGGAAAATTGTTTGGAGAAAGACAACCAGGTGAAGACAACTTTAGAGGCACTGTGATGAAGTCGAGGAAGGCGGAGAAGTTTGACGGGGGAAATGATAGCCATTTCAGTGGAGCCCCCCGAGGTAGAGTTAGAAAAAACGTAGAGAGTGGAAAGAAGGTCAGCAGTGTGAAGGGACGCCACAGTGCTGGAGATAAACGGAAGGGCGCTGCGAATCAAATGGGGACAGATGCGAAACTGGCAGAGAAGGAGACGGAGGATGGAGAACGTAGAAGGTATGACATCGGCAGGGTTGAACAAGGCGGGGAGGATAAAGATAAGGATGGCCGTGATCCAGGGGAAGGTAGCATCTCCGTTGGACATTGCTATGATGAGAGCAAGGGCAACTATCACAACAGAGGGGGAACCGACGACGACAACAATAATGACGGAAACACGTCGTGCGGGGGTGGAGGAGGAGGAATGGGGGGCGGCTACCTCACAGGGAGCAGTCACAACGTAGGTAATGATAACTCCGGCGGAAGAAGAGGCAGTGTGCCGGGAGAGAACCGCTACAGGGGACAGCAGCAGGGGCGACAGGAGGAGCGAAAGAATCGACTGGACCAACGAGATGATGGGGTCATTTGCCCGATTGAGAGTGGACCCATTGGTGTAGTAGGATGTGGCTTAATTAACAGCGTGGGAAGTACCCCGGTGAGCCACCCCGCGGAGCACGCGAGGACGGGCGACACCCTGTTGCACACGAGTCTGAAGCACCAAGTATTGGATGGGAAGACAAGAGCAGATAAAATGGTGAGTGAAATGATGGATAACGAAGGGACCAACATAAGGTGCACCATCGTTGGAAATGTTACCTGCATTGATAGTGTGGTAGTAGGTCCTAGTGACGACGCGATGAAAGGGAAGGAACTTCATGGCAACCACTCCAGGGGGAAGGCCAGCAACGATGTCAGTGCAGTGGGCAAAGGAACGATCATCACGAAGAAGCAGAATCGGAGCGGTACATCTAAAGAGGGGAACTTCGCACCAGTTAAAGATAGGATGAAGGAGCAGGTTGGAAGCAGCAATAGTAAAAGGAGCTGCGAAGTGAGCATGTCCTATGCATCAATATCCGAGGGGCAGAATGGAGATGGTACAGGTAATGCCATCTTTAATTCCCCCAGGAATGAAGATATACGTTGTGGTAGCGGTGTCGGAGGGGGGAACGCAATCGATGCGGGGCAAGCGAAGAAGATGACATGTCTGCACGTGAAGGGTGAGCAGATGCAGACGACGGAGCAGATGCAGACGACGGAGAAGATGCAGACGACGGAGCAGATGCAGACAACGGAGCAGATGAAGACGATGGAGAAATTGAACCAAGACGATGCAAAGGATGAGACTCGGGGATTTACGAAGGAGGTCGCCGAAAACGGTGGACTCAGCAAGCACAGCCATAGTTGCAACAGCAGTAGCCGTGGAAGTAGCAAAGACGGAGGGGAAAACAAAATAAGAATTCACAGAGGAGGAAGTACCAATCTGGTGAGTGAGGATGCATCAACAGAGGGTTGCAGCAACATCATGCAGATGAGACAAATGGCAGATGCAGGATTAAATGGGAAAGGAACGAACCAGCTTAATTATATCTCGGAGCAACCCTACTTGGAAGGCGTTAACCTAAGCGCAGCTACCTCATTCGATCTGCACAAAGAGGAGAATCATACGGGAGCTGTCAGCGGGGGGTACCATCACGAAGGAATGAGCAAGCCTGTTAGGATGAGTGACAACCAGGAGATAAGCCCATTTGGTGATTCGCCCCCCAGTAGTGAAGAAGGAAGAAAATTCAAATCGGTGAACCATAGTACACCTCTAAATCACCGCGATGTTGTGAGTAACGGTTACACTGGAACGCAGGATGGAGCAGTTGACTTGGGGAAGATAAACATAGAGGCTGACAGTGGTGGCCCCATAGATAATTGCACCTTCCGATTAGGGACGTCCCATTCGAAGGGTAATTATGATGCAAGTGAATCCTCCGCTTTGAAGATGAAAAAGGATAATCTGGCACGATATGTGGAGGACAGGGGAGTGAACAATCTGGGCAGCTTCCCGATCCAGGCGATTGAAGGTGTAGGCAGCTACAAGGAGGAAGTGTTGTTTGGATGTAGGGGTGGGGACGCGCATGGTGGAAGTGGCGTAGGCATATGCATTGCTTCTGGAAGCAGTGAGAATCGTCTCCCCCCTGTGATAGTGCAGCAATGCGGCATGAAAAGGAAGGCCCCGTCTCTTTCGAAGACCTTGCAGGGAGGCAAAAAAGTGAAGGGGGGGTTAGCACTGGGCCTCCCAGGTGGTAGCGCTAGCAGAAGCAATGATGGCATCAGTGGCAGCAGAAATGGTGGGAGCAATGCCGCCAGCAGTGACGATAGGACTGAGGGGCACACTTTGATGCAGAGCTTCGTGCCGAGTTGTGCGCCAAGCCGTGTGCAGAGCCATTCGATGAGTCGATTGGCAAATCGGCCGGGGAACCCACTCCTCCCTCCGAGTCACCTGCATAGCGAAGCACAGCAGCCCTTCCCCTTGGCGAACGATGGATATGTAGTCGCAAGGAACACAGTGAGCATGGCCCCCAAAGGGATGCCTAGCATAGCAGAACCCGTTCCACTCCTAAACGGAAGGAAGGCTCAAAGGGAGATACTACCAAAACAAACAAAAGTGGAGTTATTCGACGGAGTGGAAGTGAATCACGATAAGAACAGTAACACGCAGAAGGTGGAACCTAAGTGGCCCCCAGTAAGTAACAGCAGTTTCAGTTTTGAGCAAAATGGTGATTATGAGAGAAGGGGACTTGTCGGACAATTTTCCCATAAAGATGATTGCACAGAAAAGGCGAATGGGGTGGAGAAAGCCAAGAGTAGCACATTGGGGAAGGGGGTACTGAGGAGTGAAGTGAGGCATGTGTATGGAAAGCTTGGAAGGACAGTGTCTGATGCGAATGTGCATTCGATTCGGTCGGTTAGTTACGCGATGAATGGAGAGAGTGAGGGGAGAAGAATAAACGTGGGAAGGGTACTCCAGAGGGTCGTGGAGGATGGAAGAAAGGATGGTAGTAACAGCGGCGACATCGGCAACATCGGCCACAGCAGCGGTAGCAACTCTGGTAGCAGTGGCAGTGGCGACAGTAGGAGCTACTCCGTGTTGAGAAGCCGAAAGGAAGGAGAAAAAAATCGCCAGGGAGGCACCCAAGAATGTGCCAAGGTGCGCCCGCTACCCACAGAGGGGAAGCAGTTCATTCTGGGCAGTCACCACATTTGTGGTAGTGGCAGTAACAGGGGAGGTGACCACATGGGCGTAGCTAGCCGCATGGGCGTTGCTGGCCCCATGTCGGGAGATTGGGGGGGAAGCCGCCCCTTTAGTAGAGACCCGAGCGGTAGTCGTGTCGTGGCGAAGGTGAATGGAGGTGTGCAGGATTATCAAAATGGACACATAGGCGAGGGAAGAGATGAATATAAAATGGATCACTTCGGTATGGAGACGCCCGGAAAGCTCTGCGTAGCGAAGGACCTACAGCAGGAGAACTTAGAAGGAGTGAAGTTTCCCAGCGAAGCCGTGATGTATGCCCCTCCACAGGCACACAGAGACTTATACAATAACAAGATCCAAAATGAGATTAGCAACGAGAAGAGTAGCAGTGTGATGATGAGCAGTAATGGGGTTGACCCCATTTTGGCGAATGGCCTTGGGGACAACTCGAACCTCGTCAGTAGTATGAATAATATTGCGGCGAGGCCGCTGGAGGGGAAATCGCAGGAGGGAATGTCTTTTGTAGGCACATCCCTCGTGGGCACCCCAGTGGATGACTTGCAAAGAGGAGTCAGCAATGGCGCGGCAAGGAATGTACCGAGCATGTGGGACAAAGGTACCATCCCCTCCAACGTGCCCATAACCGATCTTAAGATAACGAACAAGATGGAGTTCCTTGTCAAACAAATTTCGAATTCAACTACCATGAAGGATGAACAGAATGGAGTCAAATTAAAAATCTCGAAAAAGAAAAAGAGAAAACCAAAAGTCTCACTCCTACAGCACGACACAAGTGACCTGAAGGAGCAGGTTGTGTCTGATAAGACCATCGATGATGAGTTCCCTTTATGTGACCAGGGAGAAGAAAACCCAAATGAAGAGACCAAATCCAAGCCCAAGCGGTGTAGGAGGTCTCGAGGCGCGAAGGATGGAGACGACCAAGTTGTCACCGGTGCTTATGACGAGAACGGAGAGAAGGTCTCAGGGGTGTGGTAAGTTTAAGCGTCGCGTTAGATCGGCGTGCCATTTGCGTCACAGCGGCTTTCCATGCTACGTCAGTGCGGCGTGCCATGCTTCGTGCTGTGTGACCTACCCATGCCGCCGATCCACCCATTCCCGTGCAGGTACGACACCAACAGGAGACTCTGGCGAGTCATGTACATGGAAAACGACAAGCGGAAGACGAGGGGCTTCTCCCCACGCATTTATGGGTTCAACCTCGCACGAGAGATGGCCGTGAAGCTCAAATATGAGATGATGGAAAAAAACAAGAAGTGACCCCGTTTTGTGCTCCTTCTTTGTGCCCCTTTTTTGTGTCCCCTTTGTTTTGCCCCCATTTTTGTGCCCCCTTTTGTGTCTCCTTTGTTTTGCCTGCTTTTTTTGTGCCCCCTTTTGTGTCTCCTTTGTTTTGCCTGCTTTTTTTGTGCCCCCTTTCCGTGGCAAGGCGCAGGGAAACCCTCGTTAAGGTCCCGGCGTCCACTTGTCAAGGAGAGACCCATAGCAAAAAGGGAAGCACATAAAAATACATTGATAAATGAAGAAGCCAAGGTGGAATTCTTTTTTCCTCTTTTTTTCTCGTTTTTTTTGTGAATGCATTTTTAAGGTATTTTTTTGTTGAATTTTGTTTCATACTTTTGATGTAATATGCCCCACACGATGGTGCGTGAAATTTTTTTCTTTTTTTTTTTTTTTTGGAGACGGAGTCTCGCTCTGTCGCCCAGAGCGGCGGGGCTCTGCTTCGGAGTGTGCTGTTCCGCGTCGACGCAGTGATCTCTTTTTTTTTTTTTGTTTAAACTCAGCATTTCGCTGTTCCCCTTTAGCAGTTAACACGCAAAAAACTTACACTTAGCATTGAAGACACAGTAACGTACTAATGGGTGTGTGTCTGGAGGGGGGGTCCACAAACGCTCCTGGACATGCTTCCCCCATGTGGAGGGGGAAAAATAAAAAAAGAGGTGCTCTTTCAGGCAGATCGGGGTGGAACAATCTGTGGCTGCTTCCACTATGCATCGCTCTGGAGGCGACGAATGTACTCGAAGAAGTTAAAAACGGAGAGGTCGCTGAGGAACTGCTGCGAGTAGTAGTAGTTGGACGCGAGCGCAGCTGCGAAGAGGGAGCGCAGGTAGATGTAGGGCACCCTGTCGAAAATCTCGTCAAAGGTTACCTTCTCAAGCAGAATGGCTGGAATAACATCACTCAGCACCTTCTTCATCAGCTTGCGATCCGTGCAGAGTGTATCCGAAGAGAGGATATCCTTCTTCAGTTCGCTGATTTTGTTGGAGAGGATGTTTGTGGCCTGCGAGATGGGCGTCTTCGTTCGCCTAGACTCGCTCCACAGGGATTCAAATTCCAGTTCGCAGTAGTGGACGATCTTCTTTTGGATTTCCTTAACGTACTCTTTGTAGAATGGGGAGACTTTGTCGTCCAGCTTGGTAGGTAGGGACTGCGCTTCCTCTTCCGCTGTGTCTTGCTCCATCGCTTCCTTCCCCTGATCGCTCTGCCCATTCTGCGCTGTCCTCCCCATCAACATCGACCGCGTGAAGGACATCGAATGGTTGTTCTTCTGATTCAGGTTCATGAAGGTAAGTTCATTTTCGTCCACGAGGAGAATGTCGCTTTCAGGGGTGCACATCATTTGGAGGAACTGCTGATCGGTGAGGACCAGCCCGGCGAGGACCTCCAGACTACTCGATATGACTCCTCCCTTGTTGGTAGATGCATCTTTGAAGAGAATGACATTTTTTGCTTCCAGAATTTTCCTCGCATCGTCCGAGATGAAAACATTTGCCCCTTCGACGATGTACTTGTAGATGCACCGTTCATTAATAATAATGTTGTTAACATTAAACACGTTTATGGAGTGGGGTCTACCTCCACAGGGATTGAATAAGTCGCATGCATTCAGTGGGTTCAGAAAGAAGCTGTTTCTGTATTCTAGGCCACTCTTAATAATTTTTCCTAACACATCTACGTTGTGATCTTCAATAGATATTTTGAACCCATCTTTGGAAAGATATTCCTCATTGTAGAGGAGGCAGGACGTGGCTAGCTTTTTCCCTGCACAGTTTCTTCTTTTGGCTAGACGAATGAGTTCCTCCTTATGCAACCCGTTTTTGTCGTACAGAACCCCCGAGCCGTCAATGATGGACGTTATCTTCGTCTTCGACTGCAAAATGGCATTGCTTCCAAGGTCACCATCCGGACCTCCAACGATGGATCTGCTTATCGTTTCTTCCTTCAGGTTCAATTTTTCACATAGCTTTTTTATATACGTTTCTATCCCGAGGGTTGTCATTCCATAGTAGTCATGAGGAACTCCTCCATTTTTTCTGAGCTTCCCTGTGGAGAAGGTCTTCCAGAATTTGTAGCCCCTCTTTTTTGCGATTATACAGGCCCAGTCCATGAGTTGATCCGAACCGGTGTTTTCGTCTGGGCCGAGGAAGATCAGGTCTTCCTCGTTTTGGAGGATCCTACAGAGAGGTTCCTCTACTGCGCGGTCGTTCATTTGGACTGCTTCTTCCCTCTTTTCGCTCACTGGAACCTCTTCCCTATGCTTGCCGCACATGATCTTCTGCACCGCCTCTTCCGCCGTGTCGTTGGCGTAGGAAAAGGGCTGACTCCGCGCCAACAAGTCCGTGCTGACCTCCCCCAAGGTAGCCGTGTTGTTGTAGTTCCTATTCATGCTGGAGTTTAGCGAAATGCAGAGGAGCTCTCCCTCCCTTGTTCCAAAAGGAACATTGCCATCTCTTCCATCAGTCAATAAATCGAGAATGGAATTAACATACGAGTAAAAGCACAAATTTTTAATATACCTCGTATTGGGAACATTACAGACAACTGCATCTAGGAGGAGGATTCCTTTGCTTCCTCCCTCTGGGATGTCCTTGTTTTTGAAGTTCTGTGTGTAGGCGAGGTTATAAGCTTCGTCAAACAGATTGTTGTAGTTATGCATGTAGGAATTCATATTATTCGATATAACAATTCTGATTCCTCCTCTGGAGATCTTGGTGAACCTGATGTGGAAGCCGACAAAGTGGAGGCCACAGATCATGATGACGGAGTAGGGCTCCGCGTCGTATATAGAATCTTTGAGCAGTGCACCGTCAAAGGCGACGGCGAAGCTGATTTTGTGCATGCGGAAGAAGTTGGTTTTTATTGCGTGCTTCTCAAAGAGGTGGAAGTACTGCAGGATCTTCTTGTGGTGGTTGTCCTCTATTTCGTCGATGATGTCTTTGGTGAGCTTGTAAGAATGGGAATGTTGTGCGGAGTGAGATGCAGATTGGGACGCGGCGTGGTACGCAGAGTTGCATGACGGGGTGGAGACAGGTGAGGCTCCCTCCCCTTGGAGACACATCTTCCTCTCGAAGTTGGCGAATAGGAGCTTAATCGTCTTCACGTTGCTAAGGGCACAGCTCAGAATCTCCTCCTTGGTGTACTTGGAGCTCTTAAGCTTGTCCTTAATGATGTAGAAGTCATTCAAAATGGCACTACTACTACTGCTGCCGCTGCCGCTGTTGTCGATGCTGTTTCTCAGGTGTAGGGCGTGCTCCACATTTTTGTAACTCGAAAAGGAGTTCGTTGAGAAGAAGGTGATGAACTTAATAATTAAAAAAATATACGCCGACTCCTCTGCAGTGAATATACGCTTAACAGACAGCTGTATAAACTTAGAGTCGTTAAACAAGCACAATGTCTTTAGCGATTTGACAATCTTGTGTATTTTCCCCTCCAGGATTTGGAGCATTTTCTGGGCACTCTCCACCCCCCTCTTATGCTCCTCTGAATTAATGATTACATTAACGTTCAGAATTATTAGGAGAACTCCATTTTTCAGCGGCTCTACATACTTCGAGTAGGAGAAGCATCTATGCATATTTAAGCAGTCTCCGATGAGTGAAAAAATCGATGATATAACATTACTCCTCTTCACAGCAATGGTTAATGAGAAGGTGTTCAACGAAGTGGTGTAGTAATAAGTCTGGATAAACTGTCCCGTCAAGTCGTATAACACTGCTTTGTTTAACTCGTAGTAGATTCTCTCCGTTTTGCTCCCCTTAATGTAGCTGTAAAAATTAACATCCATAAGTTTCTCCAAATCAGTTTCATTTTCACTAATGATGTTTTCACTGTACGTTGGTAGTTCTAAGATGTAGGTACGTAGCGGTTCTTCGTAGGTGTGCTCTTTATCAAACACGGAGTGAACCGATCGGAAGCTCTTCATTCGGTAGCAATCCTTGGACATGTCACTAAAGTGGAAGTACTTCTCTTCGATCTTCTTTTCCATCTTATAATTCAACCTCGTCTTGTTGTCATTTGCGAACACCCTCGTTATTATAAATATCACGTTGTCATGTTTTTCTTCAAATATTGGGAAATACTTGTCGCTCGAGTACTCCTCGTTTATCTTCGCCGTTATGATGCACACCACTACTTTGCTGATCAAGTGTGGACTCGTTTCCTTGAAGTGGAGATTATTGAACCCCAGTTTGTTGAAATAGAAATCCACGCTGTAATTAATCAGGTGGTCTGAGAACAAGTTATAGCTCCTGAGGAGCTCCTTCGTCTCCTCGTACTTCTCCTTCCACGTGATGCTGTTGTTCGAAAATAGCTCTCGGTCGAATTGCCCCTCATCTGGTCCACCTGGGCGGACCAGCAGGTTCCGGGTGTCAACGTCCATTTTTTGTGCCTAGGGGGTTACTAAAACTTCGCGCTTGTCCGACTTGCGTTTTGTTAACGTGGCGCTTTTGACTCACTTTGCTTTGGTTAACCTAGATTTTGTTAACTTCGGGCTGACTTACCCGGATCACTTCTCCAACCGACTGGTACCCTTCGATGCGGGATACCCACTCGTCAAGGCGGGGGAGCAAACACGCACACGCGAGAGCAACCCCCTTATTCTCCGCGTACCCCACTACGTCAACGAGCGGCAGCGCGAGCAACAGCACGAGCCGCGAACAGAAAAAAAACTAAAATAACACTCAAGTGAAGGCTTCTGTAGAGGGGAACAAACATTTGGTTACCTACTCATGGGCATACATATACATAAATAATGTAAGTAAAATGTAAGTTCTATCAAGTGTTGTTAAAAATGATGAAAAATTTTTTTTTTCTTTTTTGGCTATTTTAACTATTTCTGCCTGAACAGGTCAGGCAGTTTTGGGGAAAAAGTGACCAACCACGCAGGGTAGCAGTTCTGCAAGCCAAAACAGGGGTGAGAAAAAAAAAAGAATGCAGAAATGTATGATCAGCAAGGTGAGAAAACAAAAAAAAAATTATATGCCAAAAGGGGAAGTTCCGAAAATGGCCATAAAAGGGGTCACAAGAGGAAGGCCCATAAGAGTTTTCCAAAATGTTGCCAACGTGCAGTCAAATGCGGCTAACAGCGCCAATGCAGGCTAGATGGTCACGAACGAACTCCGGATGTTGGGACTGTTCACTTTTCCCCTCCGCGCATTTTTAAGATTGTGGAAAATGTGTGAAGGGACCAGGACGCTTTTGTTGAAATTTCCCTGCAGGGTTAAGTTGGCGGGGGGTTGTTAAAGTGCATGAGTAGAAAAAAAAAACGACAGAAATAAATAACCAGTGTAGCAAAATGGATCAAAGGTGGCAAAACATAGCGAACTACAGCCAACTGCAACGAACTACGCCCAAGTGCGACAAGCTACAGCTAACTACCGCGAAGTGCTGCAAAACATGGACCCTGCTACAAAATGTGGCAAAATAAAACGATGGGCAAATAATTTATAAGTTTCTTTCTACACGGCGGAAAGAGATAGGCCCCCCTTTTTTTTTTTTTCTTTCCCACGGTAGTGCATAGCACGTGAGGATACCCACAACAAGATGATGATACGTCACCCTTGTAACTGCGCAGAGACTGCATGTAAATGTTACATATGAGAACTGCGTTGTTTAGAAACCTTTTCGCTCTCTCTGGTCTACGGAACGATGGCCCCTTAGCAGGACGGTTGGATAAGGGGGTAGTTTCCAAAAAAAGGGCTATATTAAACAGTGCACCGTCGTGCTAGGCATTATTTGCGAAGAAGAGGGATATACCCCCACGCGTTTCGTTTGTGCTATCCTGCTGGCTTCTCCATTTTTTAAAGTAAATATTGGATGTTTTGCGGAAAGGGTAGAGAGCGAAAAGGAGGCCTTCACGGGGGTCCCCCCCACGCGAAAGATGGATCTACAAATATGTGCGACAGGCTTATGTTGAATAGAAGGCGTGACTACGTTGCATGCGCCCTATGGCTATGCTTTTCCCCTTTGGGGCCGTCTCGCACGCTCCCCATAGAGCGCAGGACAGGTGAAGGAAAAAAGAAAAGAATTGCCGCGTGGCGTATTCCCTACCCGTCAGTCAGTGTTGTATGAAGGAGGACGGAGGATACATTTATTAATTATGCATAGGGAGAATTAGGAGTGAGGGGCTATTTATACAGCTTCGCTGGGTTTATGAGAAAAAGGAAAAAAAAAAAAAAATGATGGCATCTTAGTGAGTTGATCATTTGGCGGTTCAAAAGCCGAACAGCTGGTGGTGATTCATATGAGGGCCGTATGCAGCCCACCTGCGGGGCATACTTGGAAAGAGTGTCCATCAAGGGTGTGTGTGTGGAAGGATAATCCAGAGGAGACTCATCCCCAAACCAAGGGCTTCACAAGTGCTTAGAGCCACGGAGGCGCAGAAAAAGGCAGAATATTTCGCACCAAATGGGAAGTTAAATCGAGTTGAAAAAAAGATACGGACGCTATAAAGAAGGACACGGTGACAGTGAGATGACGCATGTGATGGTGCCGCACCGATTAAAACTTCAAACCGCTAAAAGTACGCGTTGGACGGGAAGTTATCCGTATGCACGATGGAGGTGCCTTCTGGGATGTATGACTTATATTAGAGAAAGGGGAACTGACGCGGTGCATCGTGGGGGTGGGCAATAAATAGACGAGTGTTATGATGTGTGTAGTGGTGATGCGTACTGGTGGTGTGTAATGATCGTGCGTACTGCTGATGGTCGAGTGGGCGGAAAAAACAACAAAAGTCGTCGCACGTATTGGAGGGCACGCAGTACCTTCCCTACGTGTTGCAACCCTGCCACGGGTCACTACAACTTCCGCCTCTTCTGGGAGTGATAAGACGAGACGTCCTTCGTGTCCTCCATCGTATCAGGGTAAGCGAGGCTACTCGAGGTGTTCATCAAATTCTGCTGGGAGAGATTCGATTTCATGTCACTCAAGACGTTATTGATTAGGTTGTTTTTCGTTAAATTGTATTTGATCAGGCTGTAGGTGGCCTGCGTGCCCATGAGGCTATTGCTCAGATCTGTATCGTACACACTGTGGAGCGTGCTCACTTGGGCTAGTGGGTAATTGTTCCTTTTGCTTCGCCCTTCCTCACCGGGGAAGTTGGGGGGATTAGCTTGGCTATCTGGGGTAGCGGCGTCCCCAGTGATCGCTGCGTTTCTGCTGCTGAAGTTCCCCCACTGGCCAAGATGGCCAGGGTAGTCAGTCATATTTCTCTGTGTTCCTATAACGTGTGCCTCTTTACTTTCGTCTACGTCTCTTGCCGCTGGTGTTACCCCATGTGGGACTGATGTTGCTTTCTGAGTCTTCAAACCGTCCTCCTTGAAGCAGATTAGGTTGTCCTCTCTTCCTCTGTGGTGATCCAATACTCGCCTGTCATGCCCCTTCTCTATCATACCAGTGTGTTCAGCTCCGTGGTCGATATGACTCCCAGTACTCTCTTTCATCATCCTTCCACCATCATATATGCTATTTTTAATTGGCCTCAAATTGTAGTTCGGATCTTTCCTTCTTCTCACGTTTCTGTTTCTTCTTTGTGTACCATCCTGGGGGGATTTCTCACCGTCATTAAACACGGACATCTGTGAATAATCCGTAGTGAGGGTTCTTTGATGGATGCCCCTCTCGGTGCTAAGAGAGTCGGCCAGTTCCCTAACTATGCTGTTAATCTCTTTCACTTTCTCTTTGTCCGTTCGCATGTATTGATTAGTTCGTATCAGGTGCAGTAACTTGTCTAGGTTGTAATTGTTCCTTTTTTTACTGGTTCCTTTGGGGTAGGATTGCATGTGACGGTTTGTGTTAGTGCCACTGTGGGTGGTCTCCTTTGCGTTTCTTCTTTTGGTTTTCCCCCGTGGGAGTGGACTAAACTGGGTGCGCTCCGCCATGTCCATCGGTTCCTTCGAGTTGGTGCTGTTAAAGGGGTCACTGACCGTGGTGGTGCCTGTGCCGCCGGTAGTAGCGCCACTAGGGGCAGTAGCAGTGGTTGCTGTGGTGGCCGCTCCCTGCCTGCCGCCCGCATGCGCGATCTTTCTCCTGGTCATCTTATCGTTGTGGTAATGCCCAAACAGTCCTCTTCCGCTTCTGCCTCCGCTTCTGCTTTCGCTTCTTCTTCCTTCGCTCAGCAGAGAGTGTCTCTCTAAGTCGCTGTAGCTAGTCAGAGTTGTCCTGAATGGGATGGCCGCCCTGCCGTCATACTGGTCACTGTGCATTCTGTCGCTTCGGCTGAATTGGTGTGAGGATAACTCGTTGCAGGTGGCATCATTGGTCTCGGAAGCCCTCCTGCTGAAATAGCTTCCGGTCATGTCACCCGTGGTGTGATAATTATCTTCCCAGTTTGTGACCCTTTCCTTGTTCCCCTCCGACACGTAAAAGGGGAGTACACCACCGTAATCGTTCCTACCACTGTTCTTGATTAACGCACTGGAGAGGCTGCTCACATTTGACGAAGCTGTGTTGAGATTTTTCATTCTCCTCTTTTTATCAGAGGAGTTTCCAATTGGAGTAGAGACGTCATCATTTTTCTTTATCTTTCCCTTTTGCTTACTGTGGTTGCTGTTGCTCATGCTTGCTTCCTTCTCGTTCGTTGCCTTGGCATTTATACTTATCGGGTTCCTCCTGTTGTCTTCACCATAGGTTGGTGGGGCTGCGCTGTATGCCGCGTTGGACGGGCCGACATCCGTAAAGACCCCTTCCTCATTATCGTAGTAGTCCTCAATTGGCTGCTCAGCCGGATACACTAAAGAAGCCACACTCTTCGTTTTCCTTCTCGTGTTATAGGTCCAGTTGTCCCTATTCGATGATTCGTGTTGCTCTGTTGGTGGCTTGCTCCCGGTGTGTGTCGGAGGGTTGAAGGGGTAGGATCCGTAACTGGTTTCCTCCCTTTTCCTTTCGCCGTCTTCGCGGCGTTGCATCTCGTCTGGGTTCTCCCCATTCTCCGCGTTATCCACGTCATCCGTCTCATCCGAATGGTCCACCTCGTCCACGTCATCCGTCTCATCCACCTCATCTCTCACATTCAGCAGAATCGAAATGAGCTGCTCCTTCTCCGTGTGGCTGAGAGTGTTAAAGATTCGAACCAGATCTACGCCTCCAAAGTGGTTGAGCAATAGTTGCTCATTCACGTGGTCCGCTGCATTGGTGTAATTTTTTTTTTTTTTTTGAAGTCTCACTCTGTTGCCAGGCTGGAGTGCAGTGGCATGATCTTGGCTCGCTGTTTTATCTACCTCCTTTGGTACAAGACGATCGTTATAACGACGCCTTTGCGCTTCCTCCATTATTTCGTCAAGTACGTGTATCCTTTGATCCATATCGTTTCGTCTCCTCGTTTTTGTCACTCCATTATGGGGTAAGAATTGATTCTTCGCCTGGTCCTGTGTGTGAAAGAAGAGAGTTCCTTTGTAATCGGTCGGCTGCTCCTCATGCAGCTGTATCTGCCTTTTTATATAGTTTGCTGGTTCGGTATCAGAGTGGGGTCTCACACCTTGGTGTTGTCTTTCAATCATTCGTTTTTTCATTACTTTCCTCTGGTGAGCATTTTGGCTGGAGATGTGTTCGTCTGAATGGTCTTCCCTTTGCGATGCGGTTAGGCTGTCTCCCGTCTGCGAAGCTGTTAAGCTGTCCCCCGTTTGCGAAGCGGTTGAACTATCCCCCCTTCGATTGTCCTGGTTGCTCAGCACGGCTGCCACTTCCATGGCCTGCGCCGCTGGGGGCACTTCTGAGGGCACTCCCCCTTGCTGCGTATGAGGGTCCCATTGTTGCCGCGTACGATGCTGCGTACGATTCTGCACGTGTCTTCTGCTCTGTACATTCTCACACGCCGTGTCATTCCTCTGGTTAGAATCCGCCCCACTGCGCTTCATCCTCTCCCTCCTCAAATTGCCATTCAAGATATGATAGTAATTTTCCAGCAACTTGTTTCGAAACAGTCTTTTACCCGTCCTATGCGACGAGGGATCATTTTCATTCTCATCGGAGTAGTCTAGGTTATTCTTGTGCAGGTACAGCTTGTATAGCATTTCAAGTTTGTTATTGTGTGGGACGTTTTTTCTCTTTTTTGGCTGATTCGGTTCTTCCACTTTGGACACTCCCACGAGCATCTGCCCGTGAGGTGTGTCCCTCTTCTGTGTCGTCTGCCTACGGAGTATGCTCGTCGAGTTGTTGAACCCTTCCGTAGCGAAACGGTTGCTACTTTGCTCCGCTTCCATGTCTACTTGATTCTCCTTGTGGGCAACGTTGGGGGGATAACTGATGATGCCGCCGATTCGTTTTTGTGCCTCGTTTGGGAGATGGTTCGAGAAGGAATCCCGCGCGCCGCTCGCCCAGTTGGCGTTGTGATTGTGAGTGGCGCCGTTTGTGCGACCGTTCGGTGTGTACAACACCCCTGTGCTGCTCATCATTCTCCTTCTGCCTTGGCTCACTTCTCGGAAGTAGTTTGAGAGCAGGTTGAGCATGAGGTTATAATTGCCACTGTCCACATGGGGTATGATCCCTGGTGGGCTGGCAGACTGGGGATAGTTCTTCGAGTTGTATTGCTGGTTGGCATCCTTCATCTGTTGCGTCTGTCTTTGTCTTCTTAGCTTTGTTGATTTTGCGTCATCATGATTTGCTACCCCCCTGGGATCTTCACGTGAAGAGTCCCCCCTTCGGATACCCTCGTATGTGTGTGAACTGGTGTCATTCCTCCGCTGAGTTTCCCCTTCGGCTTCGTCCCAGTTCCCATCAACCTTCACGTGGCTGCTGCTGGGCTGATAAACCCCATCTTTTTCGGGGGTACCAAAAATCCCTTGTTCGTACATTACCTTTAGGATATCTGAATCTTCTTCAGTGATAAAAGGACCCCTTTGTGTACTTGCCAAGTTGAAGTGATTCTTTGCTTCTTTGTCTGCGCGGGGGGAGGCGTCATTTCGTAGGTTGTTCTGAGCGTCGTCGGGAGGGCTAAGCGGGTTGGCCGCACTGGAAGCGTTACCCCGGTTGACCGCGTTACCGTTGACCGCACTTGGAGCGTCTTCCTCTCCGCTGTGTAAAGGGGCTCCCTCATGGCGGTGCTTCCCCACCGAGTGCGCATTGGTGTCCTCCGGGTGACTGGGCAGATGTTCTAAGAAGCCCTCCTCGACAATGCCATCGTACCTGCCGCTGATAGGCAGCATCACGTCCGGGTGAAAGTAAGATCCCACGCCATGCAGAAGTGACATCTTAAGCAACCCATTAAGCATGAGCACATCTTTGTTTAGATAGCTCAACCCTAGGAGGCCCCTATCCAATCCTCCTAACACTTCCTCTGGGTTGGCCTCATTCTCGAAGGGTGATTCACGAAGCAAAGCACTTAACGGGTCCGATGAAGGGAAAGCTTTCGTGTATTTCTTCCTTACATACGTGTAGAGATTTTCGTTGACATAGTTGAAGCTTCTAAGATTGAAGGTGAGATCCATTTGAGCTGCCCTCTGATTATTTTTTTCTCTGTAGTGCTTCATTAGCTTGCTTATGTTTGCGTGCACGTTGTCTGTAAGTTCTTCTATGGGTGGGTACTTCGATTTGGTGCTGCTTCTGGGGGGGTTGCAGAATCTGTCTGTGTAGAGGAACACGGACGGGTTGGCGGAGGGTGTGACGTGGTTACTACTAGATTGGTTTGTTCCCTCCCCAAGGGGGGAATAGAACCCGTGGAGAGGTAGCAGGAGGGGGTTGTAATCTGTATAGCGGTTGCTATATCGGTCGCTGCATCCGTAGTCGTATCGGTCGCTGTACCGATCTGGGTGGTCCTCATCCCAGTTGTCGCCCCTTCCGTGGCTTCTGCTTCCGCTTCCGCTTGGAAGCCTCCTGATGCTGCTCCCCATCCGTCTTGCCTCTTCTCCTCCTCGTAGTTGTCCCTCCCCCGCGTCCACACCCACCGGGTAGTCATCACGACTGTTCCTATCTCTGAGCCGGCGAAGGACCTTCTCACTTCCCTCCTCCTCACAGTGGTTGTGATGAATCCCGTGCATATACTGGTGCTTGTAACAGTACAGGATCTCATGTCTACTGGTCTTGCTGAAGTTGGGCCACGACAAGTAGCTGCTGGCACAGTTCACATGGAGGAAATTATTGCAATTGGTTAAGCTGCATTTTAACGAGGGGAAGTTAAGTAAGCAAATTGAGCACCTCTTGTAGAAGAGGAAGTTAAAAAGGACAGTCAGATTGAAATATCTGTTTCCATAGACATGATTATACGTGTAGTTATTAAAATAGAGGCAGTCTCTATGACAGGTGTACTTAAGGTAGGAACCGTTTTTATGTTTCAGCTTGATGACACCAATGAAGAGTCTACTTAGGGTCTGTTTTTCGTTACAGAGTATGCACCTGACGGTCTGGAACCATGCGTTGTATTCTTTTTTTTCCAATCCGAGTACTTCATCGTCGTAGACGTAGAGGAAGTAGCTTGAGTCTATGTCCTTGATGATGATTTCTTTGGGAACTCTAGCTTGTCCATACGTTGAGTACCGTGCGTGTCGAGTGTTGTACCCCTGCTCGGAAGGTCGTGCCCCCTCACTACACGGCGTAGCGACGCTACCTTCTCCAATGTTGCATATGGTATTACCCAGGGGAATGTCCCTATCCACGGTGATGATGCATCTGCCGCTGGGCCCTTCCACCTCCCCAGAGATCTCCCTACTGTAAAAGTGCTTCACTAATTTGTTCTTACAAATAGCGTTATTCATTTTCTCGATGATCCTGTAGGCCTCCCTCTTTCCACTGAGGAAGGAACTCACCAGTGAGCTACCTCCGCTGTTGTGTGTATGCTCCCCCGCGAATAGGACTCTATTAACTGGGAATGATACTATGTCCTTGTCTATCTGCAGAGTCCTCCTTCCAACGAAGGAATTCAAACCACGAGAAAACTTATTTCCCACCCAATCGTAGTAACATATCTTCTCTATTTTAATCCCAGGTAGTAGGTCTTTCAGAAACGACTTGCAATCATTTATAATGATTTTTTTTTCCAATTTGGACGTTTTCTTTCTGTACTTCTTCCTCAGGAAGAGGGCGATGACTGGGTGTGCACTGTAGATGACGATGTGGTTGTATTTGTTCGTCCGGACGTTACTTTCGTGGGTGCAGCGATGATGCTTCTCTCCGTTCATGAGACGCTCCCTCTTGAGGCACCCTATAAAGCTCATTTCGTCTATACGGTTGAAGGGGGGACGCCGGTACACATGACTTTTGTTATGGGTCCCTTCAGTGGGGGGGAGGGCATTCTCATACTGCAGTGCTTCTTCAATGTCCTTTGGTGCCTCCTCAATTGGCATTCCCCCGTCGTTAGGTTCCGCTTGTAGCGGCTCCTCCTTCGTCGCCTCCCTGGGGGGAAAGTCCCCCTCGCCATTTCCATCCTCTCTCGAATTGGACACCTCCATGGAGAGAGAGATATCCATGGCTGTCTTATTGGCAAGGTGCACGTTGGTAGCAAGACATGAGGTAGTACTTCCCCGATCCGGTGTAAACGGCGGATTTGCAAAAAGGTCATCCCTATTGGGGACCTCCTTTTTGGACATCTCGTGAAACCGCCTCCCCTCCTTGGGGGTGCCTTCCCTTTTCGCCTTTTTGCAGTTAAAAAAAATGCTAACATTCTGAGTGCTCTCTACAATCCTCTCCTTCAGCGTGACAACAATTTTGTTATTTTTGGTTACCCCTAATCTGTGAATGCTGTTTGTCTTCCACTTGGGGAGTTTCGGAATGAACTCGATCAGTCCTGTGCTCTCTTGATCGGGGAGGTCCCTTATCGTTGTGTTTGGGTATCCCCTTGGATTTCCATGTGGCTTCCCCCCAGGATCTTTCTTAGGGTGTTTTTTCTTCCCCTTCCACGTACCGTCTCGATTTGTCCCCTCTGCTCGATCCCATTTGATAGTCCCCCTCCCCCTCGTTGGCGGGTCTCTAGAGATACACTGCGCATACTTCGCCATCGGCTGTCGACTTAGATTATTGTGGAGGGTGGCTCCTTTGGGGTTCTCTTCCCTACACTTCACACAGCTTCCAATGTTGAAGATATGTGTGTTCTTTCCATCGGAGAGGGTCCCCTGCTTGTTGGAGCTCTGAGCACTTTGTGCATTTGCATTCTGTAACGAGTATCCATTTGGACTATGGTCCGGAGGCAGTTTGCTTCGCCCGCTGCCGACGCCGCAAGCGCTGCAAACGGTTCCACAGAGAAAATTACAAGACTTGTCCGCTTGACAGACGTTAAGGTTGCTGTTCGTTTGGGAGGAGCACCTAGGCAGGCTCGCGCAGCCTTCCCCACTGAAGTAAAGTACCCCGTTGTTGCTGGAACCTTTGAATCTGCACGTGCTTCTGTTCTCGTTCGTCGTAATGTCTATGTTGTTTATGAGGTAGTCACTCGAGGTGGACGCGTTCTGATTATGATTTTTTCCCCAAGGGAGTGCGCTGTGTGATTCTGAGGGGGGGTGCCGTGATAGGGCTTTCGGCCGTGGGACGCCCTCGTTCGGCTCTCCAGGGGGAGCCTCTTTCGGATGATCGCCCCTCTGAGGTTGGTTTGATTCCCCCACGGTGAGGTTGTTCACTAGCAGGAGACCAGCACGGGTAGGGGAGTGCTGCTCAATCTCGGGTGACTCCCCCGGGTGAGGTAACTCCCCCAAGTGAGGCATCTCTCCAACCCGCTTTAACTTTCCCACTTGGGGAGGGTGCCCCGGACGGTGGCTTCTCCCCTTCTTGGTGCGGCCGAAGAACCTGACGCTGTCCTTTAGAACTCCAATGGGAACCGCCACGATGCAGTAGTCGTACAGTCTATTGTCGACATGATTGGCAAAGCCAATTTTGATGTTATCATTATAAGCGTATATTTTATTAACAATTTTGTTTTTTTTTATGATGATATTTTTTTTCAATTTTTTAAATATTTCCGTGAGCTCAAAGTTGCAACATATGGTCTGAAACACGTCAAGGAAGCTGACGCTGTAGAAGAGGTACTGAATAGACAGGGAGTCTAAGTTAATTCCAGCAATGGCTTCCAGATAGGAAATGTACAATTGGACATAGACACTTTTTGGATTCCTTTCGCCCTTCATTTTGGCGACTTCTGTCCGAATGGCTTCCCCCAGCGACATAGAGAGGAGGACGTTTTTATCCTTCAGGTTGTGAAAAAAGGAAGAGTTAAAAATCTGGTCGTAGTAGAACCTCAGTTTGTGAAGAACCTTGAAAAATTCGTTCCTCATTTGATGCTTATATATCTTTTTCCCATTAATGTATACATAGTGTTTGTAGAAGTGCCTATTCACATCTTTGTGGTAGATGTTTTTCTTGAGGCAGAAGTTTATGAGGGGATTATTCCGATTGACTAGGAGGTCCACTTCTCCTAGGTAGTTTTTTTTTTCATTCGATGAGTAAAAAAACTTGCCACCGATTCTGTTCCTTGCTTCGTACACAGTTACATCAACGTTATGGTTGAGAAGAACGTATGCAGCTGCTAGTCCCGACATGCCCGCTCCGATAATCACCACTTTTACTTTTTTGTTCACATTTACAATCGTATCTATGTGATAAATGATGTCATTGTAATTTTTTCTTCTTTTCTTTCCATAGTGGGTTTTCTTCAAGCGTAGGATATTTTCCTTCTTGTACAGGAAGATGTTCGAGTTTGTTTTATCGCAGATGTCCACTTGTTCGCTGTATGGAGAGGAATTTTTTGAGCTGCTGGATGTGTAGTGGTCTGAGTAACCTCCGTGGGTACGTGTTGGTCTATTCCTTTGCGTGTTTCTCTGTGGCTTCCCAGGGTTGACTTGACCTGTCTGGTCTTCCTCACCCGTCGTGTTATCGTTCAGCCCGTTCGCGTCCATCCCGCGCATTGTCTTCACCGTGTTATCCATCATGTCCATCATCATCGTCATTTTTTTTTTTTTTTTTTTTTTCTTCTTCTTCTTGGTCTTCCCTCTCTTTCGGTCCGATAACCCCTCGAAGGTACCTCCATCAGGTGGTACCAACAAACCTTCTTGAAACTTTTCCATCTGACTTCTCCTTTCCGTTTGATTGTACTCTACACCTCCTTTCACGTTATGGAGGTGGTCTCTTCTGCCATTCGAAATGGGGGCTTTGTTAACCTCATAAGAGTTGCACATCCTGCCGTCCGTTTGCCCCGTCTGCCCCGTCCCATCTCGATTATCACTACTGGAGTAGCTAAACGGGTTGGAATGGTTAGGATAAAAGAATGTAAAATCTTCCTCAAAAATGTTGTAAATGGAGGACTCGTTATCGTTGGACGTGGATGAACTGACGACTATTTTCTTCCTACGGCGTGTGCGCTTTGGCATTTGCGCTTGCACCTTCGCGCTCGTGTACATGGCTTGGTTGGACTGGAAGCTACTGCTGCGTTGGGAGTTCCGCGCGGGGGGCCCCCCCCGGCTTCTTCCGCTTCGATCGCTTTGGCTGCTCCGGTTGCTCTGATCGCTCTGGTCGCCCTGGTCACTCTGGCTGCTTTGTCCGTTATGATCGCTCTGATCCTTCTGATCATTTGCGCTTCCTCCACCATTGCCGCTTCCTCCCCCATTGCCGCTTCCTCCCCCATCGCCGCTTCCTCCTCCATGGCCGCTTCCTCCCCCATGGCCGCTGTCATCGTTCTCTTTCCTCCCCTGTTCTCGGTCACCACGGGGGGAGCCACCACACGCTGAGCCGTCTCGAGTGCTGCTTCCCCTATCGTTGGCTTTACCTTTCGCACCACTGCCCCCTCCATTGGTGCATTTTATCGAATGGGCTGCATCGTGGGCGACATCCCCTTTACAGTGGACACTCTTGTGCGTATAGTGATTACATTGGGGGGAGGCCTCCAAGTGATGCCTTTTCCTTCCTCTTGTTTTCTGTACCTTCATCACAGCAACATCTTCTATTGTTGTGCTGTTGATTCCTCCTCTTTCATGGATATGCTTTGACAGTTGCATTATGCGGTTTACAAAAGTGGACTTTAAAAATGGGAAGAAATTCGTCTTTGTGTGTTCCGCTCCGCTTTCGCGCCTTACGAATATGTCAATGAGCGAGACAAAATCGGACAGATCGCCTTTTCCACGGAGGAGCTGGACTGTTTTCCTCTTCTTCTTTTTCTTCTTTTTCCTTCTTGACTTCTCCTTCGAGTCATTCAGTAAATACACGCCAAATTGGTTCCTTCTCCACAGCACTCTCTTACATATGTCGCTTCGCACCCTTTTACATATGTTGCTTCTGACCCCTTTAATCTTTGCGACACTTTGTTTGTATACCATCGGGGTCAAATTCCAACATTCTCCTTGCAGCGTCTTCCGATTTTTCGTTTCCCTCTCTTCGTGGCGTATTGTCACCCTCCCCTTCATTTCGCCAACATGTATAGAATCCCTTTTTGTGCACTTAAGGATTTTTTTGTTGGCAACATTCAGGAGGGAGCGAATTGTCGAGGGTGTTACTTGGACCACTTTGCATCGATCCTGATGTGCAGTTGGACCTTTCATCTTGGGCATGAAAAGGAGGAGAGGAGAAAAGAAAAAAACGAATCTGGTGATTCGCTAATCTCCGTTACGTCAAAATTGGACAATAAGCACATTTGCCTGAGATCGCGCAAAAGTGTCAATGTTGTTGGTTAAATGGATGTCCTTAGGAAAGGGGTGGGGGAAGTGAAGAGTCCGATTTCATCTTCGTTCCTGCTTGCCACCGTTTGTGGGACTATTAACGTAAGGGTTCTTTTATATTTATTTCTTATCTTTATTTTATTTTCTTCCAATTTTGACTTAATTTCGAAATACAATCCGATCGATGTGTTATCGGATGAGTAACTTTTTAATCCCCTCTTTCGTCAAATTAGGGCAACAAATTGAGCATCCTCTTCTGGGCAGTTGACTCTAAAGATGACTGTTAATGCGTGCCGTAAGGAAGGATGGGAGGAGAGCCATATAGACAACTTGGACCCGGTTGTTAATCGGACTGTCTATTCAGCTCCTATGGAGTAGCGGGGGATAGGTGAAGGTACACTAGCGAGAGTGCGTTTCTCTTGGGCGATATGATAGCACAGCTGCAATTTTAATTACGCTGAGGATTACGCTGGAAAGAAGAGGAGAACTATGGAAGAAAAGGAAAGAAGAAAGAAAATAGCAATCTGGACTCATTGGAGGTGGATACAAAACAAAGGCGCTCCTGAGGAAGCACTGAGGGGGGAGAGAAATAGGAAAGGGCACAACAGGCAACTCACATGGGCAATTAAAAATGGAGAAAAATAAAAAAACAAAACATGCAATTAAGTGATCTTCTGTGAGCTAAAACGGAATTGTCTGAAGAAACGTGCGAAATAAAGACCACATGCGTAACTCAGTTTCCGCGAGCGCTGACCACTGGCCGACGTTCCGAAAGGAACCAACGAGCGGGCAGGAATATACATGCATAAATACATATGTATGTATCTATGTAAGTATATATGTATGTACATATGTATGTGTTTTTTTTCTGTTTCTTCCGTTTGAACTTGCAAAATAATTTTTTCTCCTTCGATGAAGTCCCGTTTGGTTAATTAGTTGCAGCCCTGTACAGTTGTTCCTCGCCCTGTTCACCCCATTTGATTTGCCCCCTTTACTTCAGCTTTTACGACTGTAGTACCCTGCTTGTCTCCACCTGAATGGACAGAAACCGGAGAAAACAAACAGGGGGGATTCGGCTTGAAAACGACTGTTCTACATAGAGGCGCGTCTGCTCGTATATCCAAAGCGTTTGTGGGAAGACAAAAATGCGGGCAGGTTAAGCATGTGCGTGAAGAAACACATAGGTATGCGTGAAAATGGCAACATGTATAAGGGGGTGCTCGCGCGCAGACTTTTCAAAAAAAAAAAAAAAAAAGAAAAAAAACTGGCGTGAGCACGAAGGAGTCTCTTCACAGTCGTCGTTTTGGGCATACCACAGTAAACACATGGCAACATACCCGCATGAGCAGAATTTTTCCTTCTTCTTATTCATGTAATCATTTAAGTGGTCGAACGAGTGGGTACATATATGTGCATACGCATGAAGGGGGACCCTAGACGAAGGTTTCTTCTGAGTCATTTAAGCGCAAAAATGTTGGAGTGGGGTGCCTCTTTTTTTTCTTTTTTTTTTTTCCTGCCTTCTTCTACGCTTACGTGTGCACAGTCTGTGTAACTACATGCATACGCGACTGTACATATGTACGTTTGTGTGTGCCTCTGTTGGGGGTGGGGTGAGGGACGATTCTGCTTTGGCAACCGTTCCACGCGGGGTGTATATACAATGCAGAAGCAAGTGGGGTGATTACAAAATTGTATCTACATTGGATTGCGCGGGATGTAGTGCAGCGCACCAGTGGGGTTTCCACGGAGGAGGTTAGCGTGTAAAGAGAAGCGTATAGAGGGAAAACGTGCAAAGAGAAACGTGTATAAGAGGAACTTGCAAAGAGAGACGTGAAAGATGAGCGGTTAAAAGAGGCTAAAAAGGACACCAGCAATAGAAACACTAACCCAGTGGCAACAAACAAAATTCACACATCTCTTAACCACATAAAACACGGAAACGCACAAAAGGATAATCACCCCGTGGTTCAACTAAGCAAACTTAGGCCACAGTGAAGTTAGTATAATGAATAGGGAGAAGAAAATTAAAAAAAAAAAAAAGTTAAAGAGAAAAAATAAAAAATAGAATGACGAATGTAAGGGAAAAAAAACCATGCCTTTTTGTTGATTCGAAAAGCTGCTTTAAAATAACTTTTGTGAAAATTTCATTTCCATGTGGCGAGACTACGTGAAAATGAGTGTTCACCCGGGGCGAAGGTCGCGTCGCCAAAGGGCCAGCAAGGGTAGCAACGTGAAGGGTAGTCACAAGGAAGGAAGAAAAAAAAGAAAAATAATGCACTGTATGCAAAATGCAACAAAAATGCGACGAGTAATGGAACACAACGCATCAACATAACTTGTGAGTTGCGCGCTTTTTTCTTAAAAAATTAATTCAAATAAAGGAGCATCAAAAAAAGGTTACAAGGGTTGTGCAATGTATGTCATGAATTCTGCTTTTCTTTTTCTTTGCTTTTTCATTTCCTTTTCTTTATTTTAAAGCGTCGAAAGTAGCGTGGGTTTCAAAGGGAGGGGGTCCTGCAGGGGCGGCGCAGGGTACACATATGCGAGCGGCGAAGGAAGCCTCAAAGGGTTCTCCGCAGGTATGCCCACTTACCAACACCCCCTCGCGTGTTCGCAGTGTGGGTCAGAGGGCACGTATTCAATCTCGCGCTGGAGTACTGCCTCTCCTTTAGGGCACATACAAATAGGACACGGAGTGACCCAAGGTAGAGTCAGGCGGGTGTGCGCGGGGCAATTGCACACGGTGGAAAAGCACAAGGAACAATCCCATGAGCTATTTCGCTGTTAAATTAAATTTAAAAGCAGGGAACAATAAAGGGGGGAAGGGCAAACACAAAGGAAAGAGTGGACGTGCGACGTGGGGGGGGGGGCACAGTAGGTAGTGAAGACTCTTGACACTGCGCGAAGGAAGTGACATGTTAGCACATGTTAACAGCATGCACGGGGTGAAGTGGACGGAACGGATTCTGTTATGGCACAAAACTCACCGGTCTCCGAAGCGAGAATTATTCTAACCCTTCCACGGGAAAGAGGAGAGAAGGAAAAAAAGATATATATATACATACATACTTGTGTATTTATACACGTCTGATGTGCAAATTCGTTCAGTTCGAAGCCAAATGAACAGACATGCAAGGGGCACAACCACGTGGGCTTAAACGTGCGAAGGTTGGAAGGATAGACGGGTCTATTCTGTAGACGCACGTACGTTCGGCCAATTCACGGTGGGGAAGGGGCATCGGGACATGCGCGCGAGCACAATTAGGAAAGCAGCACGGGTGTACAGCTGTAGTAGGGGCGCAACTGATGTAGGAACGCAATTGATGTAGTAGCCCCACTGGTGTAGAACCGCGACTGCCACACTATTGCGAGTGCGCCAAGGTGGAACCAGGATGGAAACAAATATGTACACAAACACAATTGCAGTTAAGAAGCCAACTTCGGGGAGATTCTGCTTTTTTTTTTTTTTTTTAATTTTTCGGGTGTCCACGGGATTGTCGATATATCAAAAAAGGAAGTGAAAGAAATGGAGAAAGGGAGTAAAACGAGTGGAGAAAAAGGAAGTTAAGGGAGTGGAGGAAAAGGCAGATAAACGAGTGGAGAAAAAGGCAGTTAAACGAATAGAGAAAGGGAACTATTTTTTTGTTAAGTGGTTTTTACTCTTATGTTCATTCGTTTTCGCGTGTTTTTAATTTATTCTTTTATCCGTGAGGAGTTTTATATTTTGATACATCTATCTTTACTTTTATGTTTACTTTTATTTTTACGTTTATTTTTACGTTTATTTTGGCTTAGGGTTTGACTTTAGCCCTACGCTTGCGCCCTGTGCGTGCTGCGTATGTATGAGCACTGTCACCACGTAGGCAACACCTGGCGCCGCGGAGGACGGTAGAGCGAGGAACGCGAGTGACGTGTATGTGCACGTGTAGGATTTATTTTTTTGGAGAAGAGAGACTCAGAGTTGGCAAGCACGCGAGGATTTTCCGGTTTGGGAGGCACTTCAGGTGGGAAAGACATCTGTTGGGTGTCAGATCTGTGGAGAGGCCGATCTGTCGAGAGGCAGATGGGATGGAAACTAAGTTGGGTGGCAATACTCACCTGCTGCCCTTCTCACCTGCTAGCCTTTTCTCGCCTGAGTGTTTGCCCCCTAAATTCACTCAGAAAATGGAACGCGAACCTTCGACTATTTACAGTTTAGGCGGAGGTGGGCCAGGTTACTTCTACGTCGCGCGACAGCACCTTTTTTCCTTTAAGGAGTGGCCGTTGGCGCGGGGCCCTCCGCGCATGCACATGCGCATGCAAGATTGAGCGCGGATATTGTATGCATGCGGTGTGGTAAGAAAAATACGCACGCACAGGTACTTGGCTTAAACATATATATATATATATGTGTTTTTCTTTTCTTTCTTTTTTTTGCGTTTTCTTTCCTCGCCTAGCGAAACGCGCACCCCAGGTGCCCTAACTAAAACAACTCACAAATAGTAACCCTAAATGGCCATAAACTTGGGGTCTACGATAGTGCCAAAAAAAAAAGGGACCATCTATAAATGCAAGTCATTTTGCGTAAAATTGGAAGAAGGGGTATTTACAGAAAGGATTTCCATTTGTAAGAAAAAAGAAGGAGGTAGAAGGATAAAAGACGGGGATAAAAAAAGAGGAGAGAGCAACGCCCAGGAAAGGTACGTGTTCACGTGACTACCCTTCTTAGAGGTTAGCAGAAGGAGGAGGAAAAGTCCCCTCCTCTTCTCCTTCGTATCATACGCATATATAGCCACATGGGTGGAGTGGCCTTCACAGGCGACCGACACAGAACTGTAAGGGGGGCACCATCCCAATTGGTGGGAAAAAAGAAGCTCGGAAATTTCGCACTACCATATCAATACTTGGGAGTGTAGAAAAAAAAAAAAAAAAAACAATATGGTTCTTTGTATGAGAAAAATGACCCCTATAAGTGCGTGGGCGGGTAAGCAAACGAAACGTGCATGAATATAATATGCATAACGTTGCCCGAGAAATGCTGACTTAAACCTGCGGAATCTTTGCGTTGGGGCGACTGCTATATATAGTGCCCATCTTAGATGTGAGGCTGCACAAGAAGGCACTGCATACGCCCCACGCGGGTTAGAAAAGCGCTAAGCAGTATAAATAGAGCACTTCGCATATATTATGTAAATATATCTATATTATATGTAAGTATATATATGCATGTGGCTTCCACAGCAAGCACAGAAGAAACACGTTACCAAGCAGGAGCAGGTAGGGTCGAAATTTCGATGCGCAGTTTTCTTAAAAAATATAGGCGTGAAGGTTACGCGGTGAGAAGAAAATAAAATGAGCAGCATATGGGAGAAGAGACTTCAGGATCTAAGAACGCATAAGTACAGCAGAGTAAGGAACGCACAATTTACAAAAAAAAAAAAAAAAAAAACGGAGAAGGAAAAGGAGAAAGATCCTTAACGAAATGCCTTTTACCCCCCGTCTTGTGCGCCAGAAAAAAAAAAAAAAGTGGAAAAGGTAAATAAAAAACATACAAGTGTAACCCATACAAAAAAAAAGCACGCCTTTATAATATATCTTCCTTTTTGTTGTTTTTTTTTATTAATATTTTTATAACAACGGAAAGTATGAAAAAAAATTAAAAGTAAAAAAAAAAATAAAAAAAAAAAGAAGCATGAAAAGGAGAAGCGGCAAAATAGGAAGCGGCAAATAGGAAGCGGCAAATAGGAAGCCACAAAGAAGAAGCGACAAAGAAGAAGCGACCAAGAAGAAGCGACAAAGAAGAAGCGACAAAGAAGAAGCGACAAAGAAGAAGCCACAAAGAAGAAGCGACAAAGGAAGGAAGATTCTTCTAACATTTGCAACGCCCATGTACGAGAATAATTACACGAAAGAGTACAAGCTTACGGAGGGTATAGCTCACAGGAGCTGTACATATAATTAGATACCCTTTTTGTACACTTTGGGGGAGGATACATCCCCTGTGTCGAAAACGCAGCTGTGCATAAGCAAATGTAGTGGCAATTCGTGAAGAGCGACAAACAGGTGTTTTCAACTACGTTCGTGGGGGCCACCATCACTGCATGCTGGCGACGGGAGAAAAAAAAAAAAAAAAAAATCCATTCCGACCAGACAACAAAATGAAGACCCGAAAATTGTGCATAAACGAGTGCATACCGTACGTGCAGAAGTACGAGTGGGGAAAAGGTAAAGACGGGATGGTTTACGACGTTATGAAGAATATAGTGAAGGAGAATTACGATTTGGTGAAAAAGGACATTGATAAGCTGGAATACATAAAGGAGTATATACCGAATGGTGAAGAGGAGCAGAAGAAGAGAAAGAAGAAAAACGAGGCGTCGGCAGCGGCGGACAAAATGGGCAACGGGGTGAATACTACCCCCGAGAATGTTTCACCAGAGTATAAGAGCAAGCAAAAGGAACAAGACAGCAACAACGGTAATGGTGAAGTCAAAACGAATGATGCATCGGAGCCAAAGTACGCAGAGCTCTGGATAGGAAACCATGAAAAGGGTCCAAACTTAGTACTGTACAAGAATAATTTTATAAAAATCGAAAAGTTCTTACAAATATATGAAACGAAGAAAAAAAAAAAAGGGAAAATTGCAAAATATTTTTACAAAAAAATTGAAGATAAGAAAAATAAGAATAATGATAAAAAGAATTCAACCAAGTCCGAAGATGTCAATAGCATTCGGAGCAAAGAAACTGATGTCAAGAGATACTCTGACATTGAATTTTCCTCACTGAAGAATTATTCCTTGTACGAAAAGTACGACATTGTAAAGGAAGACGTTGATAAGAATACGCTCTTTCCTTATCTGTTTAAGCTTCTGTCCATTTCGAAGCCACTCAGCATACAGATTCACCCGAACGAAGTGCAGACCCTGTATCTGAATACACTGAACCCAAACCTTTACAAGGACAAAGTATTCAAAACGGAGATGTGCGTCTGTATTAATGCCATGAGTTTGCTATGCGGCTTCATGAATATCTTTAAAATTGCCTTTTTGGTGACTACCCTGCGGGAGCTCTACGATTTTTTCCTCAAGAGGGAGAAGCCGGGTGGGGGGAGCGGCGAAACTGGCAGTATTAACTCCATTGGCGAACCTGTGGAGGGCAGCCCCACGGTGAAACAGCCCAGAGACATCTTTCGTCTCTTCGACCTCTTCCATACGCAGAAGGACGAGCACGTGGAGGATCTCATGAAGATGCTGGCGCGCATTTACGTGTATATAATTAGCTACTCCCTGAAGAGGGGGACCAGACAAGCCTACGACGTCATATCGGTGATCGATAACTACGCCGAGTGCATCCAGAAATACGTATTCGATGAAGGGTTCTTTGAAGGGTTCTACAAAAATGAGAACTTTTTGGAGCAGAACCTGAACTTGGGAAATTTGATAAAGGTGGAGAAGGAGAAGCTGCAGAACTGCGGCGGTGGTCGGAGGGGGGCGACGGGGATGAACCGGTCGGATGTTGAGGACGACGAGGAGGAAGCGCTCGAGGAGGAGCTGGAGGTGGACGTCAAGGGGGGGGTAGAAGGGGGCAGTAGGGCGGAGTTAGACGGAGATGGGACGGTTTCTGCTTCAGTTTCGACCTCGATGACGGCCTCGGTGGCAGTCTCCCGAGACGGGCCCGAGGTGAGGGGCGCTGTGGAGACAGGAAGCAACACCGAGGCCCAGAGCGCGCACCAACAGGTGAAGAAGAAAAACAGGGGAGTGCCACTGGATGCGGTAGGGACGGCAACGGAGGGTGAGGGGTCGGTACGCTCGGACAAGAAGCAGGACCTGCAGTGCGCAGCCAAGCTAGTGAGCAGGAAAAAAATAAAATCGTTTTATGAGCATGTTTTCAAGTACCTGACGTATAGAACGATGTTAGTAGAGAGTGAAGTACTGAATAAGTGTCTTAATGAGATGGAGACGAGAAATGAAAAATATAAGTCCTATCTGAAGGAAAAGGAATTGTCCAAAAAAACCCCAGAGGAAATTTATACCGATGTGTGTAGGAAAAAAAACTACACAGATGTTCAGTCAGATACGGAGAGTTTCATTATAAGTAACATTTTTGATATCTTTTACAACGTTTCAAAATTCTACCCGAATGATGGAGGAAGAATCTTTGTATTCATTTTACAACAACTGAATTTGAAAGATGGAGATGTGGTGTATATCAGGCCAGGAGTTATCCACTCGTATATATCTGGCCACTGCCTGGAGTGTATGACAAATTCGGATTTGGTCATCCGAGGAGGACTTACCAACAAAGAGATGGATAAACTGAACTTTATCAAGTATGTGAATTATAGAAGCAACTTCCCCATCATTCTTGAGAAGGAATTCATTAACTATAATATCATATCTTATAGTTACTACAAGCTGAAGCATTTTCGAATTTTATTTTTGACGGTTCGACCAGGAGAGAGTGTCACTTTTTTATTTTCTGACGTGAGCTTTACGTCATGTATCGTTTTGTCAAGCAATCGGACTGTTAAGATTAAAGGGAGGAAGAATGACAAGAAGAAGGCCAGCATTAAGGGCATGAAGAAGGGCACTGTTTTTTTCATTGCGCCCAGCATCCTGGTGACGTTGGCGAACTTTTACGCGTCGGAGGCGGATGGTGACAAGGAGCTCGTGCTGTACTGCGCCACGTCTTGAGGAGGAGAAGCCGTTCCGCTGGTTGGAAGTTGGTCAGGTTCGCAATTCGTCCGGTTCGCAATTCGTCCGGTTCGCAATTCGTCCGGTTCGCAATTCGTCCGGTTAGCGGTTCGCCCGGTCGGCAGTTCGCCCGATGGAGCGGTCACAACCGACTGCGGCAGCGGGGCGTCTCTTCCCCCGGGTCCCCCTTTTTTGGTCCCAAATACGCGATGTGTGCACGCACAGGTAGGTCCTTACAGATGGGTATTATACCAACACATGTAGGTTACCCATACAGATGTACTTACACACATGTGTGCACACACCATGGTGTCTCTTTTTCCCCAGCCCTTTCTTCTTCTCATGGCTTCACGGCGCACCCTTCGATTGGGGAACCATGCGTGTTCTGGATGGCGCCGCGTAGGGGTGACGAATGAAGCTATATGTGTCCTGCGTGGGTGGCCGGACCGGCTGCCACGTGGGAATTTCACTGATCTCGTAATTTCGTATCATATCCCCCCGAAAAAATGGCAAATTTTCAAAAATAAATTTTATCACATCCTATTTTAATCATTCTTGCTTATTTTTCATGATGTTGCTTCTTTTTTGTTTCCATTTCAATGTCATTACGTTTGTTTTTTTTCTTTCTTTTTTTTTTTTCCGTTTCAATGTCACTGCGTTTGTTTTTTTTTTCACCTCTTTGCATATTTGAAGCGAAACTTCAACTTCGTTCATACCGCTTTTGTCCAATTTTGAAATTTCTTTAAAAAGTGCAATGGAGTTGGGACGGTCGTGGCAAATTGGGAAGGCGCCAGCCGAGGCTGCTTCGAAGTTTTGGACGCGCCAGTTGCCTTTCCACGGCGAGCTCAAAATGAAGTGAGATGGAGAACATACAGGTGGGGACATATACATATATATGTATCTATGCCCCTGTGTGTATCGTTGTGTACCTTCAAATATGCGCAGTGTGGAGAGGGGACCTCAAACGACGAACTTTCCAACCACGCACATTAGCATAGTAGGCATCCATATTGACAAAAAAAAAAAAAAAAAACAACACACAGGTGTAAGTACGTACGTGTCTGTCCCTTTCCGCATAGGTATCTGTAGGGGGGATGAGGTGACCCTATCTGTTTGGCCCCTCCATCTGAGCGATAAAAAAAAAGGAATACTTGGGGGACTATTCACACAGAGGAGTCTTCCACTTTGGCCTTCGTAGCCTCCATACTGTGACTCTTCAAAAAAAGCAAATTGAGGGTCTGGACGTGTCTGTCCGATTTCCAGTCGACGACATTCTTCATGTAGAGGAGCATCTTCTTCATTTGCTTGCGCCTGTTGTGGGGAGGGAAGAAGCGGCGGTGTGGATAAGCAGATGATGAAGATGACACTTCGAGGAAGGCGACCAGGCCGCTTTCGACGCTGCCACCGACGCGCGATTTGCCCTACTTCAAGCTGATATCCTTGGGGGAGAACCACGGGATGGGCTTTCCCATACATGGCCTCGAGTGGCAACCCCCGGCATCGCGCCTGTGGTTGTGAAGGCTGATGCGAAAGCGGTTATCGGCAGGGCTGCTCTTCCCCTGCTCCCAACACGACTTGATCAGCTCACTTTCGACCAGGTGCTTGTTCAGACACAAATGCAGAACGAACTGGATGATGTAAATGCCGCAATCGTAAGTGTTGGTTTGCTTGGGGATAACGTTCGGGTATACGAATTTGAAGAAAATCCGCGGGGGGGGGGAAGTGGTAGCGTTCGCGGTAGAGTTGGCGGTAACGTTCGTGGTATTGTTTACGGTAGCGGTGGGGGCTGCCCCTACTTCCCCTGGTGTTGTGGCTAGCCCTGGTGTCGCTGCCCTCTCCGTGGGAATTGCGTAGTCCCGCTGCAGCATGTGCTCCAGGTACTTCTTCAACTTGTGCAGAATTTTATTTCCCCTGATGGAGGGGAAGAGCGAGTCGAGGTAAATCATGTAGGCCACTTTAACGTTTTCATTTTTCTGTTGATCCTTCGCTTTGCTTGAAGTGTCGTTGAAGGTTCTGGTAGAACCCGTTTTATCTGTGTCCGTCAAAAGAATCGTCATGTTTTCCTGTGGGGGGATTGCCACTGTGTGATGATCACCATAATCACTGGAACTTTTTTCATTCTTGCAGGAGGGTCCTTGTTTCTTCTCATGAGGATGATCCGGATTGTCTTCTCCTTGAAGATAATTGCTCAAAAGAGCGGTGTGATTCTTTGGCAGACTCGATTTGGAGAGGGCGTCCCCCGTTTTGGAAAAGTACGACTCGAAGGATGTGCTCCTAAACGTTGCATGTAGATGGTCCGGGTGTGTGTTTTTTCCCCTGGGTTGGCTGCACTCACTGGGCGTGCTGCTCTTGGGGGAGTTTTTCTTTTCTTCTCCTTCTACTGCTTCTCTTTCTTGTTCTTCTTCTGCTTGTTCTCCTCCCTGTTGTTCCTCTTCTCCCCCGCCCTGCTTGTCGTTAAAGGGGAAGTACAGCAACACGAGGGACCAGTGCGTGTTGCTGATGTTGATGGGAACAAACACGTAGGTATATTCGTAGACCTTCTTATCGAGCTTCTGAATCCACCTGTTTGTGTTCATATACGCCTTGCAGGAATCTTCATACAATTCGATTTTTTTATAAAAGAAGGTGTTGAAAATGTAGATGTCGTCTTTCTTCCTCTTGTGATTTTTTAGAACAAAGGAATGGATATAGTTGTGAAAAAAATCGATAATCGAATCATCAATATATTTAAATTTGTCCAGACGGAAGAGATTGTGTCGGTCCATTTTGTATGTGTTGATCTTCCAAGCGTTGTTAACGTCTTCCGTTTTTTTGTTGATATACATTTTGAGCAGTTGGGTGTCGACTATTTTCTCCTTCCGCATGAACTGAAGTTTGGTCTTTTCGATTTTGGAGAAATTTAAGAATGTCGTTATGTAGAAGTTTAGCTTGCTGGTGTATTTGAAGTGCCTCGTAAAATTGCAACATATGACTTTGATGATGTCGAAGAGGCTTCTCACTTTGTACTTGAAGAAGAGCGCCTCTTGGTCGTCCTGTCTGTCTCGGCGGTGTTGGCCCTTTTGGCCTTCTTGGCCTTCTTGGCCATCCTGGCCGCTGCCACCTTCGCCACCTTCGTTGCGCACGCTGTTCTGGGTGGTCTCCTCTGGTCTTTCCCCGTCACAGCGAGGGGGGTGGTCATCGGGGCGGTCCCCACTTACGCCACTCCCGCCGCTCCTACCACTCCCACCGCTTCTACCACTCTCACCGCTAACCCCTTCGTGGTCGGCGCGGCAAACATCCCCTTTGAGGCGGCCCTCCCCGTCGGTGCAGTCGACAAAGCTGCCGACAAACCCATCGCACTGCAGCGTTACGGAGCCGTTCATCGCTTCGCTCGCGCTGCTCTGCAGCCTTTGGCCCCCTTGACGTTCACCCTGCAGTTGTTTTCCCCCCTCCCTCGGGAGGATCTCCTCCACGGACTCGCCGCACCGCCTATACCTGGGGTCGGTCTCGGAGAGGTAGCTGACGTTGGAGTTGCCGGAGTCGTTTTGTCCGGAGCCACTCGCAAGGGTGTCGTTCGAATGCTCGTTCGGAATATCGTCCGATGCATCATTTGATGGGTCATTTGACGCCTTGTTTGACGCCTCGTTTGATCCATCATTTGATGCACTGCTTGACGTCCCGTTGGACGTATCGCTCACGTTCACCACTTGGCACCTGCCGACTGCTGCTTCCACCTCGGAGGTACCCATTTCACATTCGCCATTTCGGACCTCAGGAAAGGTATCATCATCTCCTTCCCTCTCCGACACAAGATGTAGACTTTTTTTCTCTCTATGTTGCATCTCGTTAGCATTTTCCACTTGATCTATTTTTCTTTTCCTGCCCTTTTTGGTATCTTCCTCGTTGTTGTCGGTATCCGGTTCGCCTAATGCTTGAGAGCATTGGTCGAGGTAGGAGTAAGATGAACATATTCTGGAGGAGCGGCTGGTTTCCTGGCAGGTGCTAGCGTCGTCGTGGAGGTAGGCTTTCCCCTTCGAGGTCCCATCGCTGGGGACAAATTGGTTGTCTTCATCGTGAAAAGTGGAATGAACAGCAGTGTGGTGGTATAAAACTGGCTCAACAGAGGCATCCGATTCGCGTACAGCAGGATCAACCTCCGCAGCATCTTCGTTTTGGTTTCCCATGTTTATCTCCTCCCCCTGGCATGACATTTTGTCCTCCACTGAGACATGTTCATGCTGGAGGTCGCCAGCCTGTCTGGTCTTCACGGCGTCATCTTCTAACTTAAACGTGAATATTAATTTGTTGTCTCTCCCCTTTAGTTTTTCCTTTATAGTGTTCTCACTCTGGTAGTTCTCGTCTCGATCATTCATGGTTAGTTGAGTTTGGTGTGGTTCCTTGCTGTCGCTTCTTTCCGCCTTGGTTTTGTTCTGTTGACTGGCTCGAGAGTTACCCTTTCGCGTACTACGCGTGGAGTAGGGTTTCCCATTCCAAGTGGTGTCTCCCTTAAGCAAGTGAGATTCTTCCCTACGTGCTTTTCTCTGCTCCCGGTTGGACTTCTTCGTTTTGTAAAAACTGGAGTGCAGGTCGTCCGAATCATGGGTAGACTTGGTGGATCTCAGAATGTTGGCTTTCTTCAACAGTACATATTTTTGTATGACCACTTCTTCATCTTTTGTTAAATTCAAGTTGAGTAGAAGCCACTTAATTTTTAAATGGCTTCGAGTGAACACCGGAAAGCTTTTTTTTTTTTTTTTCTCATTCATGTCGAGTTCGTCTTCTCTTGTGACAACTTGTGTGTCGCTGAAATAGACGTCGTTGCTGTAAATGCTTACGTCACTTTCGTAAGTCTGTAGAAAGCTTTGTGCAACTTGGTCGTGTGTGATTTGCTTGATTTGTGATCCGTAGTTGTTTGTTCGTTTAGCTTTTGCGCACTCCAGTTCGAGGTGCCAGTGCTGGCCGTCGTTCAGGAACCCGTTAATTTCCTTCGTGCAGGTTTCGTCGTTGCCTGATGGGGGAAAAAAAAAAAGAAAAAAAACAGAAAAAAATAAAAAATAAAAATAGTAAATAAAAAATATAAAAGCAGAGCAAAGGAATGCAAAGCAAAACGAAGTGATCACGTGTGTGGCTGTGGAGAAGACCTATCTACTGGAGTATGTATGCTGGCACCCCTGCACCTTGTCTCCCTTCGCTACTAGGCGAGGGTAAGATCTGTTTGCAGTACCTCGATCGAAAGCCGCAAACTGGTTCATGTATATGTTTGCTGGCTCGCGAAAAAGAAGAAAGAGGATTTTAACTTGGCTATCACTTGCATTATCGTTTTCTCCTGAACAGGTCACATTTTTTCCCGCCTCCTCTGTTCTTGCGCAGGAATGATCACTAGGCGGAGTGCCCTTCGGAACGGTATCAACAGTGGATCTGTCCATTTGGGCGTCCCCTTTTTGGGAGGTCTCTTCCAGTGGGGTCCCCTCCTGGGAATGCCCCGCATCGGATACCCTCCTCTCACCTTTGTTAATCTTCTGTTCCAAAATGGTTCTCAAAGAGTTTAACGTTTTATCATCTGGATTATTCAATTTTGTGAATTCGATGTTGGACAAGTCGTAGCTGCAGTGTACGCTATCAAACAGTTTGGTGACAACGATTTTTTTGGTGCCTCTTTCTCTCAAGTTAGGGTTTTCACTCAGCATTGCTGTCGATTTATCTTCCACTTTTATTTTGTACTTCCCTGCTTTGCTATCATCGGCTGGTTCTTCCTTGCAGGACGAGGTGGATTCGTTGATGATGGGGTTATGCTCGTCATTAGGAGGTGAGGGTGCATCGCCTTGTGGCTCATTTTTGACTTTTGCGATGTGCAGAAATGCACTGGCTTTCCTCATCTCCTCTCGATGGACAGGGATGGCGGCTGAAACGGGAGCTGCAGAGGTACCATTGCCTGGGGGTGTCTCTCTCCTCCTGACCTTCCTAGACTCCACCTCGTATATATAAATCTCGTTGCTCCTTTTGTGGAGACACAGATACAGCTTGATCCTCTTTTTGCTGTAAAAGTGGTGGAGGTACTTGTTCTGCCCAGATCTGCTCCCACGGGTGCTCGGATAGTAAGTCATAATTTTGGAGTTTCCACCGATGTATGAAATGAGCTCTACTATAATAAAGTTGTCCGTGTCTTGTTCAATTTGTTCGTTGTTGTCATCGGAGGAGAGGATTTCGCACAGTTCGTCTGTGCAGTGTTTGGTTTTCTTTCGTGCGTCCCTCTTCTTCTCCTCTTCCTGCTTCTGAATCTGCTTTTCCTTCTTGTCCTTCCCGTTCGAGCTGCAGTTGCCCGTGTCTCTCGGTTCGTTTTTCTCGTTGCTTTCCCGCTCCGCGCTTTTCATATTGCGCGCCCAGCGGAGTGCACTCCTCATCGCTGCCAAGTCCAGGTACTAGTGCGCAATGTCCTCCTTGTTTGATTTATCTCGTGTGCTCGATTAGCTCGGATGTCCCTCCTTTGTGCACATTTCAGTGTGGGAATGAGAGGAAGTTTCTTTGTGGGTCTCCGAAAAGGTGTAGCACTTGGTAGCTGCAACTCCCTTGGAATGACCCAACGGCGCTGTTGCAAGAGGGGCGCCAAAGGTGGAGTAGAACAGCGAAGGCGCTAGATAAATTAGTGCAAAAATAAAAAACAGATGTGTCAAAAAAGAAGGGGTGGAAAGAAAAAGGTGGGGTCAAAAAGAACGGGAGGTGAAGAAAAAGGGAAGTCAAAAAAAAAGGGAGGTCAAAAAAAAGAGGCGTCAACAAAAGGATTTCTAAAAAAACAGATACCATAAAGTGGTCAACATTTGGACCGAAAGGAGTGTGAAACAAATGAGCCCTCATCCTTTGGCGCACGGACATGAAGGGTCCTTGTTCATTGCTCCAACGGACGTGCACACCTTGGCATTACATGGACATGGAAAATTAAAAAAGTTTAGCATTTCGCATATATCCACTCCTTGTACGGATTGAAAAATGCTTCTCATGGGTAGCATGCGACGTGCTGAATGAGGAGCAACACAATGTGATTTGTCCCCACCGTTTGCAGCAATAGAATTGGGGTTCTCAGCCGTTTTGCAGGAGTTTACCTCCCTCTGTTCCTTTCTTGAGAGGAAGACAAATTGGGGGGTGCCTCCATGCTTACCCATACAAACGTATGAACAGGTACATGGTCGCACGCGCAAGGATACATACACGTGTGGGAACGTACGAACATATGCGGATGTGAATGTGCCCTCCCCCCCCCTTTTACGTTGCAGCGAGAGAGTGTGTTCTTAGTGAAGGAATGCAGATCTCAGGGGAGTCATACACGCCCCATGTTTATATAAAGACGCTTTTCACGCTCCTAGTGCAGCTTCATACACAGGCATAGGTTGGTACACGTGGGGGGGGCAGAAAAAAAAAAATTCCGTTTTGAGAGGATTTCAACACATGTGCTACGTTATCTGCTAATCGGAATGAAGGAGAAAATTTTTGCTTCAAATGTGTAGAGTGTGACAGGTGTAGAGGAGGTGGCAGAGGTAGTGGTAAAGGTAGTGGTAGAGGTAGTGGTAGAGGTAGCGGTAGAGGCTGCTCCTTTCTGTTTCTTCTCCAAGTGGACACGAATTAGGTTAACATGTAAGCATTTTCGTAGTAGGCAAGTTAACCATGCAAATGATTATGCTCACGTATGCACAGGGAAAAAGGGAAAAAAAAAAATATGAACTGTTCATACACTTGTAATAAGGTTAAAATTGAAAAGTAAATTTTTACATTTTTTTAATCGCACGAATTAGGAAATAATTCACTTTTTTTTATTTTTCTTTTTCTTCTGTTTCATAACTGCCTTGTCTAGCGGAAGTTACGAAAAAGGAAATTCCCAAAAAATGAGCTATCTGAAGATGTACACATCGCGTAGCTTGGCTTATTTGGGAGGAGTGGTAAAGTAAAAGTTGAGAAAACGTTACTGTGAACACATCACTACCGGTAAACCATGCTCGTGCATGTGGAGCGAACGTGAAAGTGTAACGAGTATACTTAGAGATGTGCGATGAAGGGCCGCGTATGCAAAACATAAGAAAAAGAGCTTTACGTAGGTACGGCATTGATGTGTTGACGCGTGGGAATGTCGACGTATTCATGTTTACGTAAATGAAGTTTTCCTCTTTTTTAGCTCGCTCGGTCACATCATAGAGGGAAACGCAACGCAGCGATCTCTTAAAAGGAGGATAAGGTGAAGCATTTAAACGGAGAAGCGTTCCTCAACCGGTTAACAAACTGAACAACACGTTTTAACTTTTTTTTTTTCCTAAAAAAACGCTATGGGTATGTGCTATACTGGGGAAGAAGTACAATAGCGCGAATCGGCTGAAAGAAAAGAGGTCGCCAATATACACAGTACATTTTCTCAGCCTACACCCTAAAAAGGTGCACCTGCCTTTAAAAAAAAAAAACAAACAAGAAACAAACAAAGAAAAAACAAAAAGCACACATTCTATAGTCATCTGCTAGATATACGTCATTCCAGGCAAGTGAACAAAAATTGTATGTTTCATTTTTTTTATTTTTTTCCCTCAAGTGGCAAAAAACACGCAGGAGTAGAATAAACGTATGGTTGGGCGGCCAACTTGGACTCACATATAGGTACTCAATACCGCTCAACTGATGGAGAAAATATATGTACAGTAAAAGGCGTCAATGGCTTAATCGCTTAAGCGGAGTGATCTTATTCCCCACTCAGAAGAGCAAGCGCTTGCTTCATCCGCGTGTTCACCAAATCCACTGACGTTGAAGTCGAATTTAACTTCTGGAGTGGTCAGAGAAGTGCACAGGGAAGGCGCAGAATAATTGAGGCCTTTTTTTTATTTCTTGCGAACGGAAGAAACACACAGTTCACACAGGGAGGCAGCGGGCAGAGCCACAAAATAGAGGTTATAGTTCGATCCTCTTGGTAGAGCCCCAAAGCAGACTCGCGCCAGCGCAGAAAAGATCAGAGCGAGATTTTCACCACTTCTAATCGCACCGCACCTCAGGTAAGGTTACGGTTACACGGGACCCTGTGTTGGTATTTTGCCGAGCTAGACCAACAAATGGGCCCCACCGCAAGTGGGACCTCCATGAGTATGCGCATTTGAGAAGAAATCCATACGTTCGTGTAGGCAACACGGCAGAGGGAATTGGAAGAGGGCTATCTCGCTTCCACCCCAGTATGTCATACTTGCAACACGTGGTGTTCTTTTCCCGCTTTTATGCAGCCCTAATGGACATCAACCTCGAAGAGCGAGCATACACCTCCCCGCTGATGCGGTACATATATCAGAAAAATGAGCCCGCGAAGAAAAGCAACGGTGAGGAAAAGAGTTACGGATTTACACCATTCAGCATACGACTAGGAAGTCTTCCAATAAAAAATGCCAGCGACAACAAATATATTTCAAATATGAACTCATTAAACATCGTGAACATGCTTCCTTTGTCTTTATTCTCCAACTATAATAGCAACAATATGAGCTCAACGGACATTTTATTTTTGCCTAAGTTCTCTACATTCCTCTTTTTCACCATCCCCATTTTTGTGATGCTTCCGAATTTGACACTGTATACGAAGCACTGGTTTTTCTTCGCCCCGAAGTAGGCGGGTGCGCGATCGGAGGTATAGTACGAGCCGAGGCACTCATGCGCGGACGCAGTTGGATATTTCCCTAACCGCTCCGCATCCCCCGTTTTGTCGTTAACCATACGGGAAGAGCAAACTGGTCTGGTGTCGCCTCTTTCCAGGCGATGGCCGCCGCCCAAAATATGTTCTTTGTACCACCCCCTTTTTTTTTTTAAGATTTTTCCCGTTGGTGCTTCGTCAGTCTGTGGGGCAGCAGAAGGGGTGATTTTTTTTTTTCTTTTTTCTTTTTTATCAAGTGTAAATTTTTATAATTTTAGACGCGTTGGAAAGGGTTAATGTAACCTTTGGGAGAATCGAACGTGGTTGCCGTAGACGGGGTGTATCCGCACAGTTGATTACCAGCGCGGGATGACTACTCCCCGTTTCTGTTCGTCCGTCCGTTCGCCGGTTCGTTCCTCTTTGTGTGGAAAAAAAAGTGCCGCGCAGTTTTATTCCTGCAGATGAGGAGATACGCTCCATGGGAGGGTCTTCCTTTACGGAGGAAAAAAGGGAAGAAGCAAATTTGTTCCTTCGCCGTCCTGAGCAAAGTTGGAGGCGGAGAAGGCACAAGTTAATCATAGAAAAAAGGAGGACATTACGTCGAAGTGGAAATCGTCACATGTACCGTGATGGGAAGAAAAAAATAAATAAAATAAAAAAATGCCTCCCCTTTTCTTGGAAACCCCTTTGCGTATGTTCCAACGTAATGCGTATTTTTTTACTTTCTGGAAAAAGGCAGCTTGCAAAGCTTTTTCGTGATGCCGTTAGGGCATCAAA